CACTTGAATAAAAGAACTTTTTTTTTTCAGGGGTAGGGAAGCTGTGAATACCTTTCCCAATAAGAGATGAGGCATATTGAAAACTATATTAAATTACCCTGATTAACAATTTAGCCACGAACAGGGGAGCTTTGGGAGATCTCTATAGGCAGGACTGGGGGCTATTCATGCCAGCAGCTAAGAGGTCGAAAGGTTTCTGAAGTTCACAGGCTCAGAGCCTTTGTTATGCTAACAGACAATCTCAAATCAGCTGCCTAGTGGAGTGTGAAATATAAATGATTCCTTGAGAACGTCCAGTAAGTTGTCACTCTTGCTCTCCAAATACCAGGACAGGCTGCTAATTTTTAGCAGGCCCTTTTGCAACATTGCTGGCCCTAAATGAATGCCTTTGTAGTTCCAATCATCTTTTCAAGGGAGCTGTCCTATCATCATAGTCCAAATGCATCTCGGTTTTGACTATTAAATGAAAATCAGGGCTCAGCCGTGCTTGACTTTTCCAAGCAGCCGATGTTTGGGATGGGTGGAGGCCGCTCTCATGCACAAGAAGTTAGCACCCACTGCAGGAGGGCCAGGGCATTAATAACAGCCACAGCCAGGACTACCCCAACTCCAACCCCCACCTCCACCCCTGCTAGGAACAAAGCTCCTGGAGAGATTTACAGGGGGCTTCCCTCAGGCTGGACTACCTTTCTCTTTCAGCCACACCAACCCTTGTCTGATTTATGGACCCTCTGTCCAACAGGACGGCCGCTGACCTGTTAGCATCTGACTGGTCACTTTGAAGCAGCAACCTTAGGGATGAATATATTCATTCTTCAGGGCAGATGAGGCCAAGAGGAAGAAGACAAGGTGTATGTCCAGGCTGTGCCCTCAGTATCAGAAGCCCGTGGATATTGGGTTTTTTTTTTTTTCATTTTTCCCAAAAGGTTAAAAGCATGGCTATGATCTTGGGTGGAATATGAGTACGTCCAGAGAAATGTCTTAGCTCTTCAAGTTTGAAATCCCAAAGCTCTGATAGTAAGCAAAGCACCACCAATGCAAACCCCAAGTAAGCTCTGAGATTGATGATGAAAATATGTTAGGGAGAGTGTGGCCAGATCAAGTGAGCTAGGAGCAAAGGACATAGCCAATTGACAGAAATCAAGAAAACCCAGAAGAAAGGAAAGAGCATCTGCTGCTGGGCACCCATCTGCATCAGTCTGCACAGAGGGCTGATACCAACGACCTGACCCTTAACACTTTGGGGGACTATTTCTGACTTCATGTTCTCAACTTTTTGTTGAAACACTAAAAGGTCCTTAACATCTCTGCATTCTCCAAACAGGTCAAGCTTGATTTCTGAGGCAACAAATGGAAGAAAAACAAAACAAAACAAATGAATCGTATCTCCTAATATATTCTCCCAGTATGTTGGTAAACATAAGAACACGTGAGCGATAAATTGACCACATTCTCAGGTAGCTTTATAAAGAGCTCCATCCGTGCAGAAAACCTGAAGGCCTTGAGTGTCCCTCATCTCCTCGTTTTTCTAACTACAACAATTTCTAACTACTATTGCTGTAGAAACTAGTGTAAGCAAACACTGTTTTTTCTTCCAAAGTAACTAGGACTTAGGACCATATATTAACACATGAATTACAGAACAATATGAAAGGTCCTGTATCTTTCACCAGCTTAAAAATTATCTAGCTATAGATTTAACTGTTATTTTATAAAAAATAATCAGCATACAATATCCATTTGGAAAGAACCCTGAAATTTAATTCAGAGAATTTAGTCAATTGTTTCGGATTATTACTTACTGTTCAAATCCTTTTTTTATTTCAATTTTATAAACTTGTAGGTAACACTGTTTAGGAAAATTAGCTCAAGTTAGTAACATTAAGGAGTAAAAGTTCACAGTGTCTTCAGTTAAATATGTGAATTGGACAATAATTTGTTACTGGTCTGTTCATGCCCTTCTCATGGGGACATAGCAAACTTGTCCTCCTAATTCCGGGGACAGAAAACTGTGGACTTCTAAATATATAAAAAGGAGGCAATATTGATCAATAAAAGTTCAGCAGATGTGGTAATGTGCTTAAAGTCAACTTTTATTCCCTTTCTTTCTAAAAAAAGAAAAATCCTCAAATTAATATTAAACTGTAGAGTATCTACCTGCTGTTGACTCCTGCTGGACATTCAAAGGAGAAATACTCGCCCTGTGCTTTCCAAATTCTTGTTTTACCTCTTCCTTGTGTCCTCTCTTTTAACACATCAAAATAGGGGAGGAAGCGCTTTTGTGTTAAAACTGCAGAGAAAACACAGAGTACTTGGAGAGCAGTGGATGCCAGCTTCACCTTTGGGGCTTGGTTTGTTTTTTCCCCCTGCAGCGATTTGTCTTTTTCCTCTGGCTTTGCAGACCTTAAACTCTAGTCACTTGAAGAAAAGCAACGGTTGAAATGAAAAGTGGGGACAAACTGCATCAAACCTGAGTTTTGCTGGGAAATGAGCAGGATGAACATAGCGTGGGGACAGAGCCCCAGCATCTCTCCCTACACACAGAAATAAACAGAAAATTTACAAAGCTGCTCTTTTTGTTTACGCTTACCTAAATAGCTATGATCTAAGAGAAAGAGAATTCCTGTTTTAGAAAAGTTTCCAAGTTGCCGGGTCACTGTGGTGGGGGCATCTGAACGTGTGTGTTTGTGTGCATGCACGGGAGAGGATGTCTGGGGAGGAAAAAGACAGACGGGGGTAGAGGAAGGGCAGATAACTTTGCTGACATATTAATCCTTTAGATAGCAGCCAACGAATGGTCCAAATAGACATTTGTTTCCCTGAACAGGTTCTGTGCAGGTCTCTCACAAGCTGTGGCATATGCTTCATTTATATGTATATTTATTTAGAACGGTAGAGAATAATAGGTATAGTTTGTCTATAGTCATAGTTATTATTTAAAGTCCAAAGAGGTTACAACTTTCTTTCTACCCCAAACACAAATACAAAGGTCTTTTGAATCTGCCTCTGGCTTTATGTTGTGGGCCAATTAAAAATGAAGATAATATTCCAACTACTGAGCCTTAGTAGAAGGAAGAATGGTCTACAAGGCAGAGTGGTTCCAAGATGGCTGCCTCTCCTTTCTTTCCCCTCCCAACAGCCTGTTTTTCCACACAGAAATTAATGTGGTATTTTGTTTGGGAGCTACACTGCAGATCATTAGCAAATGAAGCAGCCTCTCCCTCCGAGGCACCAACCTCTGCCTGCAGTGTTCTCGGTGCCGAGGAGGTGTGGAGAGATTAAAATGCAAGCATTCAGATGCACTAGGTTTTTGCACAGTGACTGGACTCACACACATGTACACTTGAACGTATGAACACCACACACGGTTGCAAATAAAATCAAAGGCCCAATGCTGTCTCCGTTTTCAGGACAGACAGTAAAGCAGGGCCTGAACCTTTTCCCAAAGGTTAACAAAGGCACCATTCACGGCCTGTTTGATTTTTTAAAAAAGATATATCTTACTGATGACTCTCTCATTAAGCAGACTTCTGAAGTCTGGGGAGACAAGATTTCCATAAATTATCTCTCTATTCATCTCATGCTGGTACAAAATGCAAAGATAATTTTTTTGTTTTTCTTTTTTTTTTGTTTTTTGTTTTTTAAAGAGACATATGAAGCTGTGAAGCTTCTTGACAAACACACTAAAGGATTATGATCTTTAGGAATGACTATTGTTAATTATAATAAATACGTATTTTAATCATAAAATCCTACCAATAAAGCCAAATTTAAAATAATGTAGAGAATAAATAAAAATATAACTGGTGTTTGCTAGCAGGTCCCTCACAGCTTTGTAGACTAGAGTGCACTAGGCACAGAACAATGTGAATGGTTTAGTTCCTACAGGAAATATATTAAAAAAAAAAAAAAAAACCACAACCCTTTATCTAAAAGCCATCAGGGACAAGCACTCAATACAAGTTAACAAGCAGGGACTGATAAGATAACATTTATATGAGGTCAGAAGTCAAATGCCAGTCAAAGGCTTTTAACCTCTTGGGTCATAAACAGGAATAGTTAAAAGTGAGAGGTACTTATTTATCGGATTTTAAGGGTACCTGATCATTGCCAGAGAATCACCAATGATAAAACTAATTGGAATTTATAGAAAAAGGACTTTGTAGCTATTCAAAGAAAATTAACCTACAAACCCACAATTCTTCAATTGGCAGGAAGAAAAACAAACAAACAAAAAACCCTTGTTTCAGAGGAAAAAAAAAATCAACCCACTGATTTAAACAGATTTAATAACAACAACAAAAAACCTCTTCTATAAACAAATTATGACTACTATAAAGACTGACTAAAATATAGTAAAAGACACATTTTTAACAAATTCCGTATTAATATTCTTAATAGCCCCAAATTCCACAATTTGTTCCCTGTTTATTCCTTGTTCTTTTGCAAACCTTCAGACCTAATAAATCAGAATATAACGCCAGACTCACAATGCTCATATCCCCACAATGCCATCATTTACAAATTTAAAATTATAAATATTCTAATAGCAATTTTAAAACATCAGAAAATTGAAACTGCTTAATTAAATTTTTATCTCAATCTATCCAGACAAGCACATGTTTTCTTTTATTTCCTGCAGGAATATTTTTCTTTGTTTTGATCTCTCTCTCTCTCTGTCTCTCTCTCTCTCTCTCTCTCCCTCTTTAGGTTTACATTCCAAACTCCCAAGCAGTTCCCAGTCCCTGAGTCTACGCTCGCTCGTTTATATTTTCAAAGCACACCCCCCTGTTTTCTTTTGCAATAGAAAAAAGCAGATCTGGTTAGTCCTTTCTAGAGCGAGATGGAAGGACAGACGGTTGTCAGGCCCTCCAAGGCCCACTGTTTCTTTAAACAGAGTCCACAATACACTAGACGAACATTGTGGATTTAAAATGCTTTTAAATATTTATCACTAGTATTTTATCATCATATTCAAATGACACCTGGAGTGCACTCACCTTTATTGACAATCTCTGTTCTGAAAGTCCATTTGCTTCCTTAAAGCCCCCCAAGCAGAACAAGGACGACCCGTTTTCATTCAGTTAATGTTTAGTAAAAAACCAAGCAACCTTAATCAGCATGCTGATTGCATCGTCAACTAACAAATAATTTACCGCTCTGAGCATTGCATTCCATTAAAAGCTCATTAAATTTTCTGCTCTCCAATGGGAGGTTTAGCTTTTGAACTGCATGCTTTTGCTTCGAATGATCATTTATTCAATTTTTATAAAATGTGGTGTCCCCCCCCACCTCACTCCAAAGTGTAGGTGAGCATTTCAATACCTATAGACTGTCAACATGCAGAAACACAGCCCAGGGTTTGATAACATTCGATTTGATTTACAAAATCTTTTCAATAAAAACCCTGCACAATTGCTTGTACTTTCAGGACTTTGAAATACCTGAACTATATCTGTGGTCACATGTAACCCAAACACAGCTTCAAAAACATTAATATCTAATATAAAATTTCAAATCCTTTTTTTAAGTTTAAATTTTTCTTTCCCATGTCTTATCGCTATTGTATTTATTACGTTATCCTCATATATAATTGTTGTCTACTGCTTCAAAAGGGGGTGATGACACTACAAAGCTTTTTAATGACAAACTTTGGCAGGGTGGCCAGTTACCAAAGAAATCTACATTTTTCTGGGGTTTGCACATTTCCTACAGATCCCTTAGTCCTCTGAATTATTTTTATGCCCAGACTCATCAAGAAAAGGGTATATTTACTATTTTTAATTTAGGGAAATGTTGAAAATATTAGGCCACAAATTAACATGCATCTTTGGATTGCTAATTGTGCTCATTGCAAATTTGGGTCATTTTGCATGAGTGACTCTAATGTGGGGCTGAGATTGCCATGCAGCTCAGTGGATTCCTGATTCCCCTCGCTAATCCTGAACTCAGTGATTGTGTCAGGTGCAGGTCTGTATGCTCTAGCAGCTGGCTCATCCTCATCAATGCAAATAAGGCAACTCCTACAATCAGAACCTCGTGAGTGTGAGGCCTGATTGCTGAGGGCAGGCGCGAGCACGACACAGACTCTCACTTTCAAATCACGCTAAGTGACAAGACAACTGCAGTGTCCTCCCAGCTCAAAATCAACCTTTGGAAAACAAAACAAGAACGTGATGGCGGCCAAGAGGAGCGAAGCCCGGTGTTGGGCAAGTGAACTTGTTTAGAGGGGCTTTATTTAGATACCGATAGAATGCGAAGTGTGTTCCAACAAATAATTGTTTAGCTCCCCTTCCGGGCAGACTTTGTTTTCAGAGCTGCAGGGGTAAGCAAAGGTGAGGGAGACATGGGCCCTGTCTCCAAGAAACCCTATGGTTTGATTGCGGAAAACTGTAATGATTCAGATAATGGCAAAACTGTTATTAAGGAGCAGTCACTAAAATCTTCAATGAAAACCACAAAACCATACTTTCAAGGGAACTATTTATAGAGGGAATTACGGCAGAGAAGTTAAGAGCGAGGTTTTGGAGGCTTCGGGTTCAAATCCCAGTCTTGCTACTTACTCGATCAGGTTTCTTCACCCTTCTAAACTGTGGCATCACCAGCCCCCATACCTACTGCCCAGGGATCTTAGAGAATGAAATAGCATTACATAAGTAGCACACCACCTGCTTGACACCTAGTAAGTGCTCAGTAATGTCAGTTGTGATTATTATTTCCTCCTTCGCACCAAGAGAGGAGCAATACAGAAAAGACAGTGTGCCACTGTGTCAAAGACATTTATGTGGTCTTGCTCAAAATTCTCGTGTTGTGTGTAGCACTTACCCTGTGGACGAGAAAATACAGTGAATGCTAAAAAGCCCTGTGTCTCTCAGTGGTCTGGCCAGTCCTGGCAACTCAGAACATAAAGGAGAGAACACGAAATCCCTGTGTTTTCCCTTTTCTTCTTCTCCAAACAAGTGTGCAGACTTCCCTGCCCTCCAGCCCCACCCTCTTTATTTTACCGCCTGATCTATAAAAGGGATTAACAGCAGCATGCCGCTTTGGCATGGAGCAGATTCTGGATGAGGACCTGCCGATGGAGTTTAATGAACACAGTTTTCTAAGATTGTGAGTGCATATTTCTAGGTGCGTGCTGGGCTCCAGTGCTGGCCCTTGAGACAGATGAGCAGGCCTTTGATCAGGCGTCCATGCTGCTCCAGAACCCAGAAAGGGCTTAGAGAGGGAAGAAGTCTTCCCTTTTTCCTCATTCATAATTTGCACTCTGTAGATTCAGATTCCAGATAACTTCTCTTGGTCCCAAAAAAACATGGGGGTAACACCATTGCGAGGATAAAAAATACTTCTGGGCAGCAACAGATCTGCTTCCTGTCTACAGACAGGGTGGCTGGCATGGGAGTCTGTGGTTGGCATTTTTCCCCTTGAGAATAAGATGGAGGTAGTTAACCTTCCCGGGGGAGACTGGGCCTAGACAACACCATAGACACCATAGGAGTTACCAAACAATAAAACTGCTTCCTCTGCCAAACACAAAGAATGGTCTGTGGTTGGATACTAGCAAACCGTGAGCCATAGAAACAGGAAAGGGAAGAAGGGAAGGAAGAAGGAAAATTACGCTAAGAGAAAAGCACAAAATAAGATTTGTTTTCTCCCATCATTTGCCACAGAGACGGCAGCCATGCAGTCCTGTCTTGCTTTCTGCCAGTGCCAGGCAAGCAACGAAGAGGTGGAGAAGGGATTTTGATGTCATGCCAAGCAGGTCAGTGATGAGGCATGAGGTCTTCTGGAAATAGCAGAGATTTGAATACCTGGAATGTGGAGAGCCTCTGAAAGAAGGGGAGAAGTTTGATCTTTTGCCTTTCTGCTCAGGACCCTTCTCCTTCTCTTTCTAATAGGATTAACAGATATTTTCCTAAGTAGAAATCAAAATGTGTCAAATCATCTGAGACAGTCAATTTGCTCACAATGCCCACATTCCACAGTACACACGCAGCACTATTCAAAACCGGCTTCATTTCTAGACACACAAAGCAGCTGAGAGGTAAACATTTACCTTCATAGTCTTACCCACCTTTCAGACTGTTTCATTTTTCTCAGTGATCTTCCCTCCTCTTTCACTGCCCCCCCCCACAATCCCCACCCCAACTCAGCTGCAAAACGTCTAATACAAAAAGATGAGACTTCCTGGGAGGATTTGTTCTAGGCGGTCCTGATGATACAATGTGCATTCTCCTTCATCCTTGGGAACTCCCACGATGTGTTTGCACATCGTGCCTCATGGCCCAGTGGTCCTTACTCTGCATCACACGAAAATCCTCCTGGAACACCTGCAAAGGTCCCCTCTACCTTTCTTCCCATCTCACCCCAGTTACGGAACTCTTCCCCCACCCCACCCCACCCCTGCACTTTTTTGTTATTGCTATCATTGCTATTATCATCTTCTCCACAAGCAGGACCTCTTCAACCTCTCTTGGGGTTGCCTTACTTTGTGCTACCTTAACTGCCTATCCCCCCAGCTCCTTTTGAATAATACAGACCAGAGTCACCTCGGGACAATAAATGGAAGTAGTTAGAGTAGGGTTTCAACTTCACATGCCTGGCATTCCCTAAAAAAATTACATGTGTTTTCATCCCTTCCCACCTTTCTTGAGACTCCATAAGATAGCACCAATTAGATGGTCTGATATAAACACCAACAATAACCAGTGGTGTGTCTTATTTTTAATATTTGAATAGTAGATAATTAACAAGCAGAATAAAGTCCAGATTCCATTTCTTTTTCTTCTCTCTTGCCATAATATGGAATCTGGATGTCCCCTAGGGTGGGCACTACTGGAAGTGATAGAACTTTTGAAGGCGGGAGGTTTTAAGAGGCAATTGTGAGGACCACAGTTTCTTCCCCTTTCTTTCCCTTTCCCCAGCCTGGCCAAGAGATACCTTTCTTTGCACCATTCTCTTCTACCAGGCCCAAAGTAGGACAGAGTATAGATCTTCGATCAAAGCCTTCAACATTTGAGCCAAAACAAACCTTTCTTTTTATGTTTACTTACCCCTTTGTTACAATGGGAAAAAAAAAAGCTGACTAGTTCACTACCTACAATTTCAGGATATACACACTGTTTTTGTTAAAAGTGGATGTTTTACAGTCATTTCTATAACACCATCACTGCTATTGCCACATGTTAGCTGCCTGTTTAACTATGATGTCCCACATCCCCATGAAACCAACAGTAGTGTATTTGTCCATTCTACCTAGAAAGCTCCACCCATCATTTCCTATCTGACCTGTTAGCATCCTGCCCATGTGCCCTCTGGGAAATACAGCCAAATCCTCATACAGTAGCTCTCTTCAGTCACCTATTGGAGTTGGATTTCTACTCTGCATGTGGCTGTTGTCTTCCTGCACAACCACACCTTGAGTCATGGAACACAACGCACTTACCTTCTCTAGTTTAGCTTTTCTATCAACACCTAGTCCCACCCAGTGAAGCTACTGAGTGAAGTCGATGTCCCACCTCCTTAGCCTGAGAAAATTGCTCTTGACCTACGTGTGCCACCCCATTTTCATTTAGATCTTATAGTGATTTTAAGGTTTCCCTCTATTAGAATTTTTTGATATCTTAGTCTAAACACTCACTTAGTAAAATCATAAAAAGATGGATTGTGAAATTAAAGAATTAAGAAGTGATACCTTATATTGGAATGACTAAATCATTGCATTTACTCTTCTGTTTCTAGGCTGCTCTGAAATTGGCAACAAATACCTTGGAATTAGTGCCCTGGACACAGTGGATTCATGTCCTACTTCTAAAAACATTTAAAGCACTAACAAATTGTTTTCTGTGTCAGTTGGTATTGGCTTGGAACTTGGAGTTGGTGTGCTACATGTGTTTATATTTAGCTTTTGAGTCATCCTTATTATTTTGGCTCTTATCCACATAGGGTATTTATCTTCAAAGAATCACTACACCACAACAAACTTCCTACTTCATATTTTAACATTTTTCTTAACACCATACCTTGTTCTCAACCCTATCACTTCAACATTGAATATTTTCTCCTGATAAGGCAAATGACACTTTAGCCTTAGTTAATGTAAAACAGGGAAGTGTTAATCTCATTTTCAACATGTCAGCTCTTCCAGGTGGGGTATTAATACGCAAAATCCCCTGCTGGCAGACTCAACAGAATCTTTCTGGCTGTGAAGGGAAGTCCAAACCTGGTAATTTTTGCTTTCCTTTATTGAATGTGCTCAGATCTGTTTCATTCATTGAAAAAAGATGTACCAGTAGCTAAATGAATATAGAGAAACACAGAGA